CAAAAATGTGTGTTAAATAAGAAGTAGCAGTTTTGCATGCATTGAGGACGGACATCCACTTGCGATATCATACAAAGTCAGAATTGACGCAGCGACGGCGGCGGCCGCGAAGCTCTTGACTTGCAGACCGATGGAGCTGGACCCGACCGAGCCCATGGACAACGAGACCGCTTCACAGACCGCGCAAAGTTAAAACAAACATCGGCCTTAACGCCATTGCAAGGTATCTCTTCTCAGAACAGCGGATCGGATCCAAGGCTCCTTAAGCCCAGAATGTTTAAACTATGTTTTGATGGTCTTTTGTCTACAAAGGAGCCTCCTGCCCCCCCCCCCCCCCCCGCCCAATAAACGCACCGGGATATCCACCCATCCACACAATATCGCACAGCTGGTTCATCACGTCTTAGATTGCGTCGGAGTTCCAGTCACCCGTGCGCAAGGTCGCGGGCAAAACGCCACTCGTGTGGCAAATGCCTGGGTTCCCATCGCTCAAAAACGCCTTGTCCGTTAAAAACCGTTTTATTATGTGGCGGCGAACACACGTCCGTGGTGCTGGCCCCATGCAATGTATGTAAGCCGGCACACCAGCACCAAACAGCAGGCCGGCATACCGGCACGCCAGCACCAGACAGCAAACCAGCATGCCGGCACACCAGCACCAAACAGACAGTCGACATACCGGCACTCCAGCACCAGACAGCAAACCAGCATGCCGGCACACCAGCACCAAACAGACAGCCGGCATACCGGTACACCAGCACCAAACAGCAAACCAGCATGCCGGCACACCAGCACCAAACAGACAGCCGACATACCGGCACACCAGCACCATACAGCAAACCAGCGTACCTGGTACGTTTAAAGCCAGTACCGAAGTTCAGAGCTCTGGTCAAACCCAGCGCCGTTCTCTATCCGCAATCTGCGACACACATCGTAGTCCCGGACGTGGGGCTGGTGCGTGCAGCACGCGGGGCTAGTACGTGCAGCACGCGTCGGCACGCTCTACCCCCGTCACAGCGTGTGATATTGCACTGGCGTGAACAGGTGAGGTCACTCAGACGCAGCGTGCGTCAGTCGTCACTTTAACGCGCACTTTAACTTTAACAATTTAACTTTAACGTGTTTGATTTCGCGCGACGCTGGACGTAAGCCATGGCGACGAAGAAAGTGAGTTGAGTGAATTACACACTGTTGATAAAGCACCGGTAGAAGGGGTGGACCACTGATGTGTGAAGAGATATGGTTCTTTCCTCACACAGAGCTCCCTAACACATAGATACTCAATCTCACTGCACAAGCATATGAAGCTTTCCTGGTTGAACATGACACAAAAGGGATGCCACTAACGACTTAATCTAGACATGAAAATACACACACTTGAAGCGCGCAGACACAGCTCCAATGCCAGGTATAATCGCATATGTACATTTCAGTGCGGACTCTCCGGCCGCGAAACTGGCCAACGAACATGACATGAAAGACGTCAACATGTTACTTCATTCATTTCTTGCCATCAAACCTCCCAATGCTAACACATGATGGGTGGTAATCATCATCCCCATCCACCGGGACAGACACAGCTAATCTGCTGTGTCGCAAGCGAAGCCCACCTACATGCGCTGCAACCCTCGTTTTGCGGTCGGCTCTGATGCTAATTGCTTATCTTGCTTCATGCGTTTAAAGCAAAACGATGCACCTCCACCGGCTGGAGCAGCGCGTACGCTTTGGCATCCGCCCCCTGAGGGCATGCTGGCACAAAAGTCTTCTGGCAAACTGTGCCGCGCACCCCGTCACGGTCACAAGACAACCCGCGGCACATGGAATGGTGACGTTGTGCGCTGGGAACAAGTCACACCTGTGAATCAAAGTGAAGAAGCTTTCACGCACTAGTTTAAGTCCTATGTGTCATGGGCGGCATGTCTTATCATAGAGCCACGGATCTGCCCCACTGATGAACACCGCTGCCTTCCCGACCGCCCAATCACGGACTGGTCTGTGTCTGACTAACGCCCGAACGTTGATTTTTGTTAACGGAGGGGAGGAGCACCACTTCCCAAATATAACTGGGAGGCTTGACCAATAATTCAAACACCTGACGCTATCTTTTTGATGTATTACGGATGTCTGATGTTGTAGTCTGAATTTCTTGGAAGCTCCAGTCCCACAGGCATGCAAAGTAGCGACCTCACTAGAAATCAACCATCCACTTTCAGTCAGGTACTCGCAGGCACTGGGACTACAATGCGGGATAAATGCCGCATCTGGAGTGCTTATCTTTATCAAGCCCAAGCGGTGGACGACGCTTTCTTGTCAGAATGAACGTCGCAGCCTAGTGCAGCTGTTAAAGCGACAAACGGCTCGTGGACGAACATCCAACGGATGAATGTGGATGTTGCGACGATCTCACGGGCACGGCCCTGTCATCCGGCGTGACACGTGCTTTCGCCGATGTGCGGCTCCGACGCGCGTCAGAACGTTCGCGGCAGCATCGCCTCCGAGGGGACCGTCTTCGGAGTATCGTCAGTGCCGCCTCAGACAGCTGCACAGTCAGTGTGAGGAGCAGAGCACGATTTTAAGCAGGCTAGGAGAAAACGACGTTAAAAAATAGGGTGCGTCGTGGCTTCTTATGCGATCAGTTCACTGCGATCTGTGAAGTGCGCCAGCTGTCCCACGCCATGGAATATGCTTCAAATTGTACGATACTGAAAATTCTAGAACTGAACTGTAACACGTACGCGTGTTTCATACCAATGACAGGGCCCGCATATACGCACATAGTGCATACAAATATACACAATGCGTAATTATCTCAGCAGCAGATGTTTCATGATTTAAAAGCATTCTTTGGAGACGTCTGTGATGCAGTCGTAAGCCGAAAGCAATGGCCTGTTCACGCAGACGTTTATTTTAGCGCGTTGGACGCGCGTCAAAAACAGGTGACGTCATGCAAAAAAGTGTGGTGTGCAATGCTGAACCGAGGGTGTTCAGCTTGGACTCTGGAGTACTCGCGTCCAAAGTGCCTAAAGTGCCTATATGGACAGATCATTGGTGTCTGGACTACGGTAATAGGCTTAGGACATGTTACACGCACGACCAAATGAAACGGTACGTTTTCAGGTGCATTTCGCGGCCGCGATGGGTTAAAGGATCTTAAGAAACTGTCACAATCTTAGGGCAAATCAAAGGCTTCAACTTTTTGTCAATTTTTATATCGATTTGTCGTTTGAGGAATGTTGTAGACTTCTATATCGTAAAAATTGCGGAGGAATTATACATTGTCAGAGGGAAATAACTCTGCCACACATGATCGAGTGCCTCTATTGCGTGAAGCATGCTATGGGATGGAGAATATTGCCTATTAACCACGTACCCAGACTTTCAGTGATGCTCCTATAATCTTGAGTAAGGCTAATATCCTGAAGCTTGTAGTGTACCACAGCATACCAGCAAACTAAGTGTGGCGTGGCATAAGAGAAATGCATGCAACTAGATAATATCGGTCGGTCGACTCCATTCGTGACGAAGGTTATCTAATCCCCTGTCAAAAAAAATGGTCGCTTGTCGTAAGGCGTGGCCATGCTGTGACACTGACGCGTCTCTAATTGGCTTTCACTGGCTTCGAGGCGGATCTTCATAGCCGACGCTTCAGAGATCGTTCTCCACACGGGTGGTGGTGTCGTAAGTGTCATATGGTGTCATGGTGAGTGGCGGTGCCCAGTCATAGCCCGAACATTTTTTTCAGTGTAGAATTCTATGGAGCCTAAATATATTGTTGCACGAAATCGACCAGTCATTTGTGCCTTGTTATAGCTCTGCATGGGGTCCTCTATAATTGGGTCGGGTAGCTGTTCCGTTTTCCCACACAAATCCACGTCACGTCACGTACACTAGACTGATGCTCAAGCCACACATACGTAGCAGCTATATGCACCAGTAGCTAATCAATTATTCATTCATTTCTTTGCTCGTCTATTATTACCAAAATGTGTTCGATAGCTCGACAGGCCTTTCACTGGAGAGACGTCCTTTGGATATCTTGCCAAAACTCGGCCAGCGTTGTTGCTCACAGCAACAAAAGATATCCCTTGGTCATTCGCGATTGGCGGTATGTCCAGCTCGAGAGCCACCCGAAAAAATCGGCTCAGTTCTATCTTATATCCTATCTGCTGTTCACTTCACGCATAAGATGGATATTAGAAAAGTGTAAACGTCTTCAAACTACACGAAATGGGCATTTCCAGAGTGCAGCATACACACATGGCTGCTGTAGACAAACATGCGCCATAGTTTGCAGCGCAGACGACAACCGTATCGGCCCGGCTGATGAGGACAAGGTGGATCAAAACACCCCATCCCCAGAAATTGATTATGATATGAAGAAGTGGGAAATCTAAGATAGTCTGATATGCAACCATTAACGTCAACACACCACGCAGCCATGGGATTTGTCTTTGCTCAAAGGGCTTCACTCAGTCTGCAACATACTAACATATTTATCGTCCTTCGAGAGCTTGACCCGTCTTCTAATACTCTCCAGTAGTAAAAATAGGCTCGCTAAGTCCGACCAAAATGTGAACAGCTATCGCTTGCCGAAATCTGCAGCGGTGTTAAGGTCAATGATTTCTGTTACATCATTTTGGTCATCATGAAACCTTCAAGGAGTTTAGATTCTGCAGTGCTGAACACCGGCGCCACACCGCGACCTCAATGACTCCACGTCCCAGCACCCTCCCCGCGGGGTGGTGCTAATTCCAACAAACGCTCCCGGATGACATCGGCGCCCAGCAGCCCCGAACAGCCTCGTTTTGACGGCAATAGGAGCGGCGTCCTCCGCTACTCCACCCCAAATATGGTCCGCGGCACGTGTCGGCCAGACCCTCCCACCCACGAACGCCGCCGCCCTCCGTCCTTTCTTCTCGTCCTCACAGGCGGCGATCGCCCGGCCGAGCGCCGCGCTCGCCCGGCCCAGCCCGGCCCAAGCGCCGCCGCGCGTCGGCGCCTCAGAGAATTTGCAGGTTCTCGCAGGACTTGGAGCGTGGCTCGGCCCCGCACATCACGTGCAGCAGGCCCTTGACGCTGGAGGTGTGGCGCGCGCCACGGTGCAGCCGACAGCTGCGCCGGCCCAGCGAGCGCGACCGGCTGAGCCGGCAGCTACGCTTCAGCCGGATCTGCGACAGCACGCCGACCAGCAGCTCGTCCACCCGGTGGTCCAGACCGCCCGACACCTCGATGAACTTGCAGTCGTACGTGTTGGCCAACTTGCGGCCAGCTGGAATGCAAGGCGCGGTGATGTCAGCCGCGGTATTGAGAACGGTCTTCTTGGACCCGTGGGACCACTAGCGACGACGGCCGCCGGGCCTCAACGATTGCGATACGCCGTGAAGGGATTCACGAGTCGTCAGAGATGCTGAATCACACCGCAACACGACATTCAGAAGACTTATGTCGCTGGCGATGCAGTTCGGTTGTGCCTCCATCCATTCCGACTGAGCCGATGGGGGTGGGCAATGTACAATCAAAACATGTCCTGCATGCTTATGTCGAATCGAAACGAAATCGAAACGTTTCCGTGCTTATGTCGAATCGACACGAAGGCGAAACGTCTCTGTGCTTACTCGTGCCGCGGGCAAGGAACACCGACACACTTCAACACTCCCTGATCCTACTGACGTCGGACAATTTCAAATACCATAGACGGCCTATGTGCATCTCCGTTTGTCTGATGTTCATCTCCCTCCCCGAAGGTTTTCAGCAAGGTTATGAGGGTAATAAGCTCATCTCACACGCGGCATGAAAGCTCACCGGGTAAATGCTCGCATTACGGGATGATGGAGAGGAAGGGCTCAACCACGCGACTCACCCTCTGCCGTGATCATGCGGCTGCGGACCAGGTCTGACTTGCTACCGACCAGGATGACGGCCTTGTTGGCGACGGCAGACATCTTCCACAGCGTCTGAAACGTCACACGGTGCCGGCTCAGCGGAGCGGAAGCCGCAGAAGAAGCTCCGTGGAAAACGCCGTCTCAGCGTCGAGTACCAGCGCTGTTATTATATATCGTACCATATATATATATATATATATCGTGTCAGCGGGTAATTGGCCCAGTGAAGGTCGCCACCTTTACACAAGACCACGGCGGAGTCAACTGGCTCGTCAGGAGATAGGACATTACATCGCAAATACACCCGAAAATAGAAAGCAGCAAACAGGGTAAGACCGCGTTCTGAAAAATCCTCCGGCGTTCTGAAAGGACCGCGCTCAGCACTGTGGAACTAATGGAATGCATTAGTTTGATACGTTGACATCGGCTTGACAGAGTCAATGCCAGCGGCTCTAGTCCCTGCGTCCCTAACCTAGTTCCAACCGCGGTGCCGACCCGACGCGACCCGGGGGGATTACCTGCAGGATTTGGTCGGCATACTGAACGCTGCTGGGCTCCGTCACGCTGTACACGACGATGAACGCGTCTGGGTCGTGCGTCACGATGCTGTCGTCAAGCTGAAGCGGACGGCGTCTGATTTAGTCAGGTATCCTCGACCAGGGGTGTACGGGTGTAGTTAAGGGTCGGAGCCCCTCCAGCTGAACAGGAAACTGCACTCACCTGAGTTGGCGGTATGGCGCTGCTACCAGTTGACCGAGCCAGTGAGCAATAACAGCTGGGCGCCATTACCGTACGGTGGTGGTATCATCATGTGGTGGTACAAATAATTGTGAGGACGCTAACTGAGGTGCAGCGCACGGACATCGACAGGGACTGGCCCCATTCCCAATCATCACGCCCAGTGGACGAGCAGTGAGAGCTGGTTACTGTGACACTAGTGTCGACCACCCTCACTCCGTCGCCTCTGAGCTGTGAAGTCATCCAAAAAACTATAGATTGCGATTATACAGTAAATCTGAAATACACTAGAGGCGTACCGAGGACACAGCGCACGGACCTTGCTGCGCCAGACAACGGTCTGCCCGGCGTGCTCGAAAGTTAGCTGTAGTTACAATGTTGCTGGCCGAGCCGCAGCCAGGGTATTCGTTAGTTATCATGGCTGTCGACAGCGCACCGCGGGGCAACAACACCATAGGCAACAGGGCTGAAACACCGGCCGCTCCCACACACCGCACAGACCAAGAATCGTCAGCGAACACATCAGGGCTGAAACACCGGCCGCTCCCACACACCGCACAGACCAATAATCGCCATCGAACACAACAGGGCTGAAACACCGCCCGCTCCCACACACCGCACAGACCAAGAATCGCCAGCAAACACAGCGGGGCTGAAACACCGGCCGCCCACACACACCGCACAGACCAAGAATCGCCAGCGAACACGGGCGCCGGCATCTCTGTTCCCAGCTAACGCAGCGGTCGCTGGTCGGGGGGGGGGGGGGGGGAGTCAGAGCTGACCTCCGGGACGGGACACATGCACACACTTGGTGGGATTTGCGTGAGGATGTGGACGTACTGTGTCGATATGCAATGACACGTAACAGGCTAATTAGACAGCAGGCTTCGACTTCATTTGACTTCACTTCACTGATTTGACTTCATTGACAACATGCCACAGTGGCCATATCTCGACTATTTCCGTATGGTAGGGTCCAAAGCTGGTATTTATGGTCACAATTTTTCGTCGTTCGAGAGGGAAAATGACGTGTGACTTTTTAAAGGTAAGTTTAAACTGTTCAAATATTACTCAAGCCGTGCCCTGACCAGAAATGTACTACGACACAACAGAACACAACACATTCCGCCTGTTTGAGCACAATACATAAAATAAACAATAAAGTGAAGAACACGATCGGCGTTGTGTGCCGTTTTCGGAACGATTTGATCTATTTCATCCATTTCTTGTCAAAGATGACATAGCCTGTTTTCTGCTGCTTTCCCCCGCAACTGCACGTCATAACCGTAGATGAAGCGCGTGCTTAAAAAAATGTCATATCGTAAGCACAACGGAAACAATCTTCGGCAGGCTAAAACTGGTCGCGCTTAGCCTGATAAAGTAGCATTTCTCCTCCATGCAAAGCTCATTCAACCCAGCTTGCAATTATCCACGGAGACATACCACGCCGCGTTACATCGAGAGCAACTTTTATAAAGCGTTTGAATGTGTGCTGCCTGAAAGCCCCACACATCATTGGAGTCCGCCCCAGCCGCGAGCGTCAGCCAGGCATGCCGATGCCACGCGCCGCGACGCCACCTCCGCCTGTCTCCATGGGTCCCGCTCGACACCAGGGCCGAATACAGACCACGATTTGCATGGCTGTTCCGCCCAACCGAGCACCGCACACACAGTATCTATGGAGATGGCCAGTGCCAGATGGCAGATCTCGATACTGGGAGCATCTACGGCGGCACCCGGTGTCCCGGTCCGAGCAGTCAGGAGGGGGGGGGGGGGGGGGGGGGCGTTCGAAACTGGGGAAGGCAGTGACACGGAACATGTCTGCCGCGGTAACGGCGGGAGAGGTCCCGTAGTCAGATCTGCAGCTTCCCAAGAGACGATTGGGGAGTTGGAGATTTCGGTCAAAGCGGGATCGCTGCTTCGCGCAGAGTTTCAAAACCTATTATTTTGGCAAGCAGACTCCAGCTAGAGGACTGAGCAACTTGCATCGCAAATATTCTCGAAACCCGACAGCTCAGGACGGGATGATTCTCCGTCCAAGTTCTTGCCTGAGGAAGGTTGTTATCTGTAGGCTTTGCTGGATCCGAAATCGTTCCTTTGGAAGATAACAATGCGAATGTATTTAGGTTACCTCCTCATACCAGATATGGACCAACTTAATTACCCAAGTAGATAGGGCAGTAGTAAAGGCCTCGTTCCTCGAAGAAGAACCGGGAGAATGGAGATATAGACGTGTTGATATTTCGGCAACATGCCTTTATCGAAACAGTAGCGGAAGTTGTCAAAGGTAACGTTCGTTTAAGCCCAGTTAACGTTAGTTTAGCACAATAGTTTCGATAAAGGCATGTTGCCGAAACATCAACATATCCATACCTCCATTCTCCTGGTTTTTCTCTGAGCAATGAGGCTATTGCTACTGCCTCAATATGTAACTAATGTTCCTCGCAAATGCGCTTACCAACTGACGTAATAACCCGAACAGTGCAAGCGTTGTTCCGGGAGTTTGCTCCCGGATATTAAACATGTATACCCTCATCACCCTAAGTCAACCGCGCATTGTTCATTCTCGTGATGTGACAGCCAGCCTTACCCACTGGCCGTGGCGCCCACTGGCGTGGTTAAGCAGGTGAAGCCGACTGGCAGTTCTTATGAGAACACCGGGTACCCGAGCGGCCGCCGCCGTGCGCGGTACAAGCCTTGGCAGCGCCCGAGATTATTTCAGAACACGTGTACGACCGCAGCTGGGTGGCGCGAAAATACTGAGCCATAAACACGTGGCATTGGTCATCCATGATGACGTTACGTGCCAACGTTAACTACATAACACGTACTGCGTGTTAAATGCTAACGTTACGAAGGCTCACGTGGATACAGTGCTACTCTGAAGCAATTTGTCCATTCTGTGCTGCGCTCGCTTCACCTAATAGCCGAATGTTGCTACTGTTTCCTCTAGTGTTGAACGTCCACTGAAGCCTGGACTCACCGACATCTCCCCGTCCGGAAGGTCGACAAACACCAGCTCCGACTCCTCGCCGTCCAACAGCACCGACACCGACTTCTCGCCACACTCATCGTCTGCAAGGACAAGCGTATGTCACGGCACTCTGGGGCGAACAGGGACACCGTTCGTGGTTAGCCGCGCCGCCAAATGGCCGCGGCTCTGGGACGGCCTGGGACACAGCTCGTCGTTAGCTGCGCCGCCAAATGGCCGCGGCTCTGGGACGGCCTGGGACACAGCTCGTCGTTAGCCGCGCCGCCAAATGGCTGCAACTTTGCCGTGTTTACGCCGCCGCGCACGCGAAACACTGTACGGCCAGCTCCCAGAGTGGACCACAAGGTGATTCGCACACTTCTCCCATCGATCCTGCGATTTAGGACCGCGTGCGTCACCCGAGCGGGTAACTTTCCCTTCGCTGTTGCAGTTAGCCGCGGGAGCTGAGCGCATGCACTTGTCAGCGAGCAGGTGGGGAGGCGCAGCGCCAGAGCAGCAACCTTCAATCTCGCAGCCTCCGCGTTATTGACGGCCGCACCGCTCCAGACCCGGCCCCACGCTCAGAATGTAATTAATAACGGACAGCTTACTCGCACCCGAACGAACGCCGCTCGGGACAGCTTACTCGCACCCAAACGAACGCCGCTCGCCAGCTGCCTCCCTAGCAAGGCAGATGACGACAGATCACTGTCGTTACAAGTCGTAAGAACGGTGTTAGCCAGGAGTGTCAGGGAAACTGTCACTGTCAGACGGAGGCAGGTGCGACCTGGTCCCTTCTCTAATGCCCAGCTCCGAACCTCGTCAACGGTGTCAAAGTCGCCTATTTGAGCGCGGCTTCAAGCCCTGCCGGCGGACTCTCGCCCACCACTGTGTGCCGATGCTCGTGTGTTCGAACCTGGCTGACGGCCAAGAGTTTTGTCAACCCGGTACAATTAATGTGAAAAGTCACGAAGCTAAATTACCTGACATGTTCAATGCGCTATTTAATCCACGATTTGTTCGCGGAACACCCCGCCGGACGGTGACCTTGAACTTGCCGGCTGGCCCAGCGGCCGGCCGCGTCATCCCGTGGACTTTACCTGTCGCAACATCTTTGCCGTGCCTTGGCACCATTGCGGGTCAATAAAGCGGCCACCATCTCCAGAAACGAGGCACCAGAGGCGGCTGCGACAGTTACGCGGCGCTCGCCGCGCCATTTGCGGCGCGGAAATGGCGCGACCGCGGCCCGTCTAATGGCGGTAGAAGTGGTAGCAGGCAGGCGCCCGTCAGCCGGCCGAACGCGGTGGTCTGGCAGACGCCTTCAAAATGCACGAGAGGCGAGCAGATATTTACAGCACCACATTCCACCATTTGGTTTATATATCAAGATGAGAGTGAGAGCCACATTCCACCATTTGGTTTATGTATCAAGATGGGAGTGAGAGGATGGGTACACGAACAGATGACGGTCGCCAGACATCAGCGGTTACGCCAAGATTGCGTCGAGAGCGGATCATTTATCAAACATGTCGTGGTAGCAAGATAAGGCATTTACGGCAGCGCGTATCTAGATGTCCTGAACGGGTTTCCCGCATTTCCCAATCACTAAAATCGCTGCCTTCGGGCAAAATTTTCGACCTCTTAGTTCCAAGTTACTGCATTTTTGTGTGTGCTAAAAATTCAAACGCCTCAAAATATGTCCCCACAATCAGCCCCGCACGACTGGCACTTAGCGCCTTTCTGAATCATCTTTATTCCGCAAATATAAGCCGTGTATCAAGTAAGGCTCTCCCCGTCCATCGTCGGGGTGTTTTTTTTATTATTTCTATACCGTTACCCAAGAACAGGTAACCAGGAGTGCGCCTCTCTCCATCCCAGCGACCCAATAAGCCGTACGTTAACACCAGACAACATAAAATCAAGTCGCGGCACTCCCAGCTGGGAAAAAGGAAACCAACGTAAAGAAGCAGGCGAAGAGGTAGTGCAGACCCGAAGGAATTGTGTTATGTAATAGGCAAGGAAAATCATACATGAGAAGGCTTAAAGAAGTCATTAGCTAAAGTCAGCTAATGACAGCCCACTATAACCACCCAATAAGCTACAACCACTCATTCACAGTGTTAGTAAGGGCCGTACAGTCACACAAGTCGGAAGGGTAATTACCTGGTCATTTTCCTGCTGGGTTTTGAGCTAGTTGTCCAGGGAGTCCATCCATCTAAACGGAGCTTGTTGCTGGAGGAACCCCCGGAGCCAGCGCCGTGAATTTGGGTACATGTGAATGACTTTAACTATATCAGAACGTGATTATGGAGCATGGAGGTTAATTTGAAGTGTTTTACATATGCGCAGCGCAAAGGATTGCAATATCTTCAAATATGTTGGTTACGTTAATATGTATTCACGGAATGCTTGCAGATGATGTTCTTAACGATGGATTTTGATGCAGAGATATCAGTTATTCTTGGAAAATATGAAACCGTAATGTCGTTTCACAGCTTAGGACCAAGGCAAGAAATGCATCATGTATATCTCAAACGGCTCGTAATAAGGCATGGTACGTATGAGACGACTCGTCATCGGACATGGCATGCCTCAGAAGCGTGGCATGCCTGAGATGACGCGTCATCAGGCATGCACTATTGCGTGGACTTTCTTTGGTGGACAGTTGACCAAATATTTTGCGGCTAGGGATTCGGGATCGGAGTCCCTGTTAAGCCTTATATGAGCAATTAATGTCCTGAGTTCGAGCTTTTCAGATATCAGCACATGGTTATACCTACCGTATGTGTGACTGGACATGAAATCTATCATTATTGATTTACCTGAAATTCGGACATTTGGAATAGCATTGTCTGGACAGATTTGTGGCATGTTCTGTTTCAAATTTGTCACGGTTTTTAAACGTTGCTACTTGTTCAACCATGTCCACTCGCAACCATGATAGAGTTGCGAAAAAACAAATTTGTGTAATATAAGCTACGCTTCCTTGATAATGTGTAGACATTAAGTTCGGGTATATTGAAAGTTGATTGCGTGCAGTGCAAGAATTTCCAACTCATAATTCCTACTCCGCAGTTCGTTGCGAGAGGACTGACCCCACGAACCCAGTGCGCGATTCCACTACAACGGACAATTTTTGCCGGAAGATTTTAAAGCGCCACGCAACAACGCTTCTGCTCCACCCTCGCATATCCAGCCTGGCTCTCTTGGCCAGTTGCCAACTGGTCTTCAAAGGAGAGCTGCATCTGCGCTGTTTCTTGGACGCGAGCTCACATCTCTTCCACCCAACGGCGGCTTTGACAGCCTGTTTGGCGACAGCCTTCCTTCATTATTTCGGATCAGTTGGCCATCCCGGGTCGCATCCGAGGCCTCCATCGAAACGACACTATCCAATTGTAAGGGGGAAACGGGGAGGGGGAAGAGGACGATTTTGGTACTTCTCGGGCCCCGATCACGCGAGCACATTTAAGATCAGACTCACAGACATGCCCTCGGCAGTTCATGACGTCAAATCCCAGAAGACACAATTTCAAGGTCAGCAAGGAACGTCCCCGCGCCGTTGTGCGGATAATGCACGCATACGTTCACGGAAGGCTGATAACAATCAGTGCGTGGAGAAGACAAAATACGTCCCACATTGAAATCGGAAGTGAATCAGCTGTAATATGATACGTTCCGGAAAGCATTCGCCCGAAAAGTAGCAGCACTTCAAGCATCTGATAACGTTTGAAATGCATCGCGGCGGGCTCCAAACTTTAGCGACGGAGCCCTCCGGACATTTCAGGTTCTGGTGCTCCGCCAATAAGGCGTGTCCCAGAAAGAGGTAGTGGCCACTCAGCGCGGTAGCTCTACAGTCGCAATGGCATCAATTTAGCTTAACTTAATCTGAAATTGAGGCATTGTCATAAAATGCAACATCAAACAGCTCTAGCGCGTTCTAAGCCTACTCGGCGGCAAAGCGCTACCGCTGCGCTGGCCGGCGCAGGGCCTCGCTCCGGCCCTTTTATGAAGCGCCAGCGATTGCATGGGCTATGCTAGTGCTCAAGGGCCATGATGCAAGCGGCATTTGAACGCGGGTATCTCATGCGGGAGTCGAAGGCGTTAATGACTAGGCCATCACGTTTCCTCGCTCCGCCCTTCTAGTATTACAGGAATGGCGGCCTCTCGATGACGCCCCTGCGGCCTGGCCGCGAAGCGGTAATGTACTCAAATTTTGATAGATGCAGCAGAGTCCGGCGTCAGCTAAGGTGGGTGATAACTTCGATAACTTTGGTATTAACTTTCAATTTCAGAGGACTGCAATGGACCAAGTATTCATTTGAGTGAAATATGGCACGAAGGCATCTAATTTCTCATTCACTCTGCCTTTTGTCAGGTAACCTTTGCTTGGCTTTTAGGCCTTAAAGTGTAGCCAGGCACGACAAAGCGTGGATGCGCTTGCGACTCAAATATCAGAAAGGTTCTGCTGGCCGAGCAAAACCAGGTAATTTGCTGTCTCACCTTTTTGCTATTTTTCACAGACATGGTGTATGTTTAGTGGTGCATGGAATATAGTAGATCACAAGGCATATTTCTTGTTAATTTCGCGGCTACAAAACAAAAAAAAGTTTTCCCAGAAGTACTGCGATAACGTATTGCCCACACGTCTTCGGATAACGTATTGCCCACACGTCTTCAAATAACGTATCGCCCACACGTCTTCCGATAACGTACGTCTTCCGATAACGTATTGCCCACACGTCTTCCGATAACGTATTGCCCACACGTCTTCCGATAACGTATTGCCCACACGTCTTTCGATAACGTATTGCCCACACGTCTTCCGATAACGTATTGCCCAGTGGCACTACCGAACCGCTCTAACGGAGCGGAGCGCTTTATTTCGCTAATAAGCATAAGCACAAAGAACATGCTGCAACTCACATTGGGAGTCCAGCAAATCTGGTAAGCAGAACTTAACGCATTGAGAGGGGACTAACATCGATTTCAAATTTAATTTACGCTGAAAGCTGAGCCATCAGATTTCAACATGCTAAGGTGTTGTTTGTCAGCGGCCCGGGTTTTAGCTCAGCTTCCAGATTCATTCGGCTTATCGCCACAACGAAGTTGCCTGCTTCTGTCAGGGCCGTCCGGGATGGCCCCGCCAGCAGGCAGGACGCGAAGAGGCTGCCCGCTTCTGTCAGGGCCATCCGGGATGGCCCCGCCAGCAGGCAGGACGCGAAGACGCTGCCCGCTTCTGTCAGGGCCGTCCGGAATGGCCCCGCCAGCAGGCAGGACGCGAAGAGGCTGCCCGCTTCTGTCAGGACCGTCCGGGATGGCCCCGCCAGCAGGCAGGACACAAAGAGGCTGCCCACTTCTGTCAGGGCCGTCCGGGATGGCCCCGCCACCAGGCAGGACGCAAAGAGGATGCTCGCTTCCGTCAGGGCCGTCCGGGATGGCCCGCCACCAGGCAGGACGCAATTGTCTCGGCGGCTGGGTCAAATTAATGAGCACGTCATGGACCGAGCAATGTATCCAAACTGAGAGCCACTCGTGTATTCCACGCGAACCGGAGCGGGGATTACAGCTGGCTTCTCATGTCAGTGGGCCGGCCGGGGCACAACACAGGTGGGTGGGGTAAGCACTTGCGATGGTGCCTTTTACAAGTGTATGTTTGTCATGTTGGCGACTAGGGACCACCAGACTCACTACCTGCGCAGAACAGTCCGACCAAGTTATGACCAGGCTGCCAAGTCCATTTGTCACTGGAATGAAAGTCATTATTTTACAACAAAATGTCAAACTGATGGCCTACTTTTGTTTCAAATGTCATTTCCAGAACAACAAACCAATATACAATAAGAAGTAGGTTTGATGCTACTTCCTGTCGCATATGTTTCCCAAGGCAATAGCAAGCTGAAGATTCCAAATATGGCATCCAACTTCTGCGAATCACATGTTCACAGCACAACCAGTAACGGCCAATCCTTTTCCAGCAATGACCTCAGTACAACGGGTTGCCATCATTTCCGTCGTTCGGCGCGCACCACCAGGGCGCCGCCTCGGAACCCGACCGTCTGGCTAATGTGCGTGCAGCCAGCGCCGGTCGCATGACCAGCGGATGTTCCAGGAGCCACTGATTGGCTCCACCCCGCCCCAGTGACATGCGTCCATTAACGGTGAAAGCGCATTAACCGGCGCATGCAGGAACAGCAGCGTCCGTATAACAGGCGGGAAGAAACGACGCCACAAAATGGCAACACCTCGCTTTGGAAATGAGACGGGTCATGGTTTACCGCAATGCTAGGACGTTTTGCTCCTAAAGTTACAGCCGTCGGCACGCGGTCAGCTTGAAAGCGTCTGATCCTCCCGCACCGTCGTCGGACGGTGGTATGCTTCTGAGCCGCCCAGGTCACCGTCTGACCCTCCCGCACCG